TTTTTCTTCTCCAGTCATTATGAGTTGACCTAAGCCGTATTTAGTACAATTTTGTCGCTGTTGGCTTGCAATGCCCTTTCATTTGATGTTTAATATGGACTTTTAAATTGGTTTATTCAAGTGCCACTGATAAGTCTCATGCAGACGAAACACGTGTCAGGCGTAAAAAATCATAATGTATCTTTGTTTGGTTTTGGCATATTCACTCTTTCATATACATAATTTAAGACAGTATAAAACATAATATTGGGTTGCTGCTAAGCTAATTGGAATACAATTTGTTTTCGTTCAATTTTAACGTTGGAACCATAAGTACTTGGGAACAGGACAGTTTGTTTTGCCCTCCCCCCTTTTTTCCTAAAAAATCCGATATTTTTTTGTTTTCTTTTTCTATTGATTATTTTCGCGTTTTTCTGTGTTATGCGTACATAATTATACTAGAAACAACAACATTTGTTTATGATTTATAACTATCATTTGCTAGTTAACTAATCCACAGATAACTGATATATGCATATATTATCGTAAACCGTGCGTAGACAAAAAAAAAAAAAAAAAAAAAAAAAAATACGGATTTTGGAAAAAGGGGGAGGGCAACAAATATCTCCGATCCCCAAGTACCTATGGCTGAAACAAGTGGCGGTAAGTGCAACTTCAAGTGTTTGTCTTTAATCAAATAGGGAACTTTAAATGGCATTTTAACCGCATTGACGAATATCCAGCAACAATAGCTTAATTAAATCCTCCTCCGCAGCAACGTGTTTTGGATTTGTGCCGACAAAACAAATGATTACAACTTAGAGATAATATTCACTACAAAGGAATGCAATTGACATTATTTTCCTCTCACGAAAATTTACTCGACGCCAAAAGAAAACTAATAAATATTGATTTTTGACAACTTAATAGTAATGCATGATATGTTTGACATGTTTGAAAAAGGGGTAATACGTGTTTACATATACACTTTGTTGTAACGCCCAGCAGCAACTATTACATATACTTAGATTGTAAACATGTTTATGAGATATGAGAAATGAATGCATAAAAAAAAAGAGGAAAAGGGGAAAAAGGGGGTGGTTGGCATTTAAAAATCCCTTAAAGCTTTTCTTCAAATGTATCTAGGTCACGAAAAAATTGGTGAGAATTATGCTTGTACCGCTTTAATCGGTATGGACCCTTGATCCCCCTTAAAAACGTATGATTACTGCATGATTTACGCCGAGCCCACAATTTTTTCTGCGTTTACTCTTAAATGTCTCAAGCGTGTCAGAGAAGCATGAAATATCAGTTTTAAAGTCTTTAGTTTGACCCAGTCGGTGATCACGATATTACCAAAGCCGCACTTTTGAAATGGCTTTACTAAGTCTTATCTTAAATTTTATGAATTAAGGGACACTGCTATTAGGAAGTTGTCCCTTTTTTGCGATAATTTGAAATGCAATTCACCATTCTTTGCTATTTGAGTTCATTACGAGAATTTGTTTTTAACAGTATGAAGATTTTTAATGTGTTACGAATTCTACTGTCTAGAATTCAACAGCTCGATGTCCATTCTTTTAGCCCGGTACATTCCCTGTGCATGTTAAGATCTAATATGTTGTAACATGTTTCACACTTCCTTCTGCTATCTATGTATACTGTGTGTAGTTTATATGTTGTATGCCTATAGTTGTTATGACTTGGGTAAATAAAGATTATAAAATGTTCAAAAAGAGTCCTTTTAGATATGTGGAAAATCTTTTTATCTAATATGTGTTTTGTGATTTGAAAAAATAAATACTTCTCAAGAACTTCCTCTTATCTGATCACAATATAACATTGGCTTTTTATAGTTGATTAAGTAAGCACAGAATGGAATCCTTCTATATATACAGTTGAAAAAAAAAATTTGTATCGAGCCAAAAAGAAAGTCTAGAAAGAGAGTCAAATGAAAGGCGATTACTGGAAAGGATTTCATATGCAAATCTTAGTACAAACGTGTTATTTTTGTTGAAATTTCGGAAAAACTTTCCAATCAGCAAATCCGTCCTTTCACAGGCAATTTGTTCCATGTATGCGGGTAGATCAAGCTATCCAACACCTTTCGATAAAGGCCTTACGTTGATCCATAGTTGCCTTGGAACATCTACGTTGTTTGGTCTCTGTTGGATAATGTCTCATAGGAAATCATATCATATTTCATTATTTTTAACGCAAGGCTACGGTCGAACATGTTACATCAAATGTTTATGTTCAAAAATATTCATGAAGAAAGAAGAAGTATATATGGTCGGAGTTTTTGTTTTTGTTTTTTGTTTGTTTTATTTTACATTTGTCTTGTTTATCTAATACTGAAACCTTAAGAAAATTCCCCTTTTCAATTATAATCATAACGCTAAAAATTAAAAAAATACTGAGAACCTTTCCGACAGTTTGTTTATATATATCTTCAATTGCCAATAACCATCCCCCTTTTCCCCTTCATCCATCTAAACCTATGTAGTAACAGTTCTTTTACTATAGCAGGGAATCTGTATCATTTTGAAATTCACGAATCTAGAATCAATACACCTTGCTGGCTGGAGCAATGGATCAATAAAAGTGTTCATGAAAATATTTTTTTTGAATCAGTTCAATGACTACGTTAAATTCTAACAAAATAAATATTTATTTTGAAACATGAAGCGATATATAGATATATATTCACAATGAGTATTTGCCAAGCGTCAAACACAGCAACATAAACTGATCATTTATCACTTAAGCATAATCTGAAAAAAAATACAGATACATTATATATAAATACACGTCATATTTCTTTTTCAATCAATTAATCTACTTCCTCAACTGTTGGTCCCTGTGCTGAGCCTCCGTGTGATTCGCCTCCAGACTTGGCACCGCCTCCATGTAGTTTTGTCATTACAGGCGACGCTACCTGTTGTAAATCTTTCATGTGATAGTCGTATTCATCTTTTTCGGCTAGCGTATTTGCTTCTAGCCATTTCAGTGTCTCTTCACATATTTTTAGCACTTTATCTTTCTCATCTTGTGACAGCTTGTCCCCTGCGTCATTTATCGCCATCCGAACAGTAAAAGCGTAATTCTCAAGCTGATTTTTCGCAGTTACTCTTTCGCGCTGTTTATCATCTTCATCTTTGTATTTCTCTGCTTCGTTAACCATTCGGTCTATCTCGGCCTTGCTCAATCGTCCTTTATCGTTTGTAATTGTAATTTTATTGGATTTACCCGTACTTTTATCCTCGGCATGAACGTTTAAGATTCCGTTAGAGTCAATGTCAAAAGTCACTTCAATTTGCGGAACACCACGTGGTGCGGGTGGTATACCATTTAAATCAAAATTTCCTAATAGATTATTGTCTTTGGTCATGGCTCTTTCACCTTCATATACCTGTATATGAACACCAGGTTGGTTGTCCGCGTAAGTTGTAAATGTTTTTGCCATTTTGCAAGGTATCCTGCTGTTCCGGTCGATCAGATTTGTCATTACGCCACCTGCTGTTTCAATTCCTAAAGATAACGGCGCAACGTCAACTAAGAGAACATCTTTGATTGCTTCGCTGGTGTCGCCTGTTAGAACGGCGGCTTGTATCGCAGCGCCATAGGCGACAGCTTCATCGGGATTGATTGATTTGTTTAACTCTCTTCCTGCCATGAATTCTTGTAATAGCTTTTGAATTTTTGGAATTCTTGTAGATCCACCGACAAGGACAACATCGTGGATTTTAGATTTATCAAGTTTCGCATCTCGAAGTGCACGTTCGACCGGTTCAAGTGTTCCCCTAAAGAGATCTGCATTGAGCTCTTCGAATCTAGCCCGGGAGATTTTAGTATAATAATCAACACCGTCAAATAGTGAATCTATTTCTATACTTGCTTCGGCGCTGCTGGACAAAGTTCGCTTCGCCCTTTCACATGCCGTTCTCAATCTCCTTACGGCTCTGTTATTGCCGCTCATATCCTTGTGGTGCTTTCGTTTGAATTCCTGCATGAAAAAATCCACCATCCTAATATCAAAATCCTCTCCCCCAAGGTGAGTATCTCCCGCTGTGGACCTCACCTCGAACATCGACCCTTCATCGATCGTAAGAATCGATACATCGAATGTCCCGCCTCCAAGATCGTAAATCAAAACATTCTTTTCACCTTTCAAGTTTTTATCGAGACCGTAGGCCAGAGCTGCTGCGGTTGGCTCGTTTATAATCCTCAAAACATTTAATCCAGCGATTGATCCGGAATCTTTAGTTGCTTGCCTTTGAGAATCGTTGAAATAAGCTGGTACTGTTACAACAACATCTTTTATTTTCTTTCCAAGATATGCACTTGCTGTCTCCGCCATTTTTGTAAGTACCATGGAACTGATTTCCTCGGCACTGAATTTTTTCGTTTCTCCTTTAAATTCCACTTGAATCATTGGTTTATTATTGACATTTATCACTTTAAACGGCCAATGTTTCATATCGTTCTGAACTGATATGTCATCAAATTTTCGACCGATCAGGCGTTTTGCGTCAAACACAGAATTCGTGGCATTCATCGCAACTTGGCTTTTAGCTGCATCCCCAATTAAACGTTCAGTGTCCGTGAACGCTACGTAACTCGGCGTTGTCCTGTTTCCTTGGTCATTGGCTATAATTTCAACTTTCCCGTTCTGGAAAGCTCCAACACAAGAATAAGTTGTCCCAAGATCGATTCCAACCGCTTTTGCACTCATTTTGAAATAAAAACTGTCAGATATAGCCAAACTATTCGAAGATGATTATATACAACAGGTAAAGATTTTAGTCCAAAACTAAAACGAGTTATAGTCTCTTTCGGTTTCTTTAGTTACTAGTCCCAGAAACGTCTAACTATATCCGAGCTCGAAACACGGAAGGCCTATACGAACTCAGAGACAAATCAAATAATATAAAGTCAGCTATTTTCTTGCCAAAACACAAACAATGTTAGACGTGAAGTTAGTGCAGCTTCACTCAGGTTGATATATGTAGTATATTTACGCCTCGTGAAACTGACTAAGTTAATAAATATTCACTTGATGTTTTGCTACGGATACTTCTAGAGTTTACCTGTATGTGTTTATATTTACAAAATATATAATCATGCATACAACGTCTAGAAATTTCTTATTGTCAGTAATTTGTGAAACGCAATTATGATTGAAAGCCAACAAATTTCAGTATCTATTTTTAATTTTTACATAAGATGGTAATGATATTTTGTAAAAAACTAGAACGTTCGATTGATAACTATTAATGTTGCATGGTTGAATAGAATTACAGATACACAGTTGACTATTTTATTTAACTTCTTTATTAGGTTATACCGGATTTATTAACACAAACGTTTACCTATAATAATTCTAGTTTTTATATCATTTTAGAAAACCGGTTTTAATCGACGCCTTTGATATTTAAGCGTGCAAATATTAAATCATTTCTTCCAAACAATATTATATATCTTCTTTCGTTGTTAAATATATTTTCGGACTCATCAAGGAAACTTGACTGATTGATTGATTGATTAAATGATTATTGGTGTTTAACACTTTCAACACTTTTGGCTATATCACGGCGACCAATTTTTACTTGTAACGGATGAAAAGCATAATAACAAAAATACCGAACTCCAAGGGAAATTCAAAACGGAAAGTCCTTTTTAAAATGGCAAAATCAAAAGCTCAAACACATCAAACGAATGGAAAACAACTGTCATATTCCTGACTTGGTACAGGCATTTCCTTATGTAGAAAATGGTTCTATACTAGGTGATTCGTTGTTATTTTTTGTCTTAAAAGACGGAAGTCAAATGTTTTATTCTTTATGGGTGCATACTATCCGACAGTCTTAGAGAGGGAGTAAAATTGTTTTGATAGGGAAAATTCAATAAGTTGGTCTGAGGACACAGTGTTCGTCCTTTGACTAATATAGTCCCTAGTGTGGACAGTGTATAACTTGAATTTTTTTTTCATACCCTTCCAAATGTATTTCTTTATATTTTATGCATGAAATATTAAGAATGGGGATGAAATTACAAGTTAAAAAAAATTGGATGATGAATTTTTATGTAAAGTAGTGATTTTGTACAGTTAAAAAGATCAAACATTAGTACATGTATGTCTGAAGCTGTCAAACTGAATTATAGACCCTATTAACATACATTTGACTGTTTTCTGCTCTTTGGTCGGGTTGTTGTCTCTTTGACACATTCCCTATTTCCATTCTTAATTTTTAATTGTCCGTATTTTGAGTTAAAGCCGATCGACTTTTCTATAATTTTGATATTATTTGTCCCCAAAGTAGAACACTACACTGTAAAAATCTTTTTGAGATAGAGCAGGTGCGATTTTGTAATTTGAATTTATTGTCTAAAAGAAATGCACTACGAAATAACTGTGTTCTCGGGCCAGTAAAGATATATTCCATTTGTCGTATCCACACTCCCATCCTCTTTTCCTCTAATGTGACCTACTGAATTTGACTTATCACCGGATTTGTACTTACATGCGCAAAACGACGGGTGGCACATGTGAGATCACCTCCTGTTTTTGGTTGGGTTCGTGTTGCTCAGTCTTTAGTTTTCTATGTTGTGTTTTGTGTGCTGTTGTTTGTCTTTTAGTCTTTTTCTTTTTTTGCCATGGCGTTGTTAGTTTATTTTCGACTTATGAGTTTGAATGTCCCTTTGGTATCTTTTGCCTCTATTTTAAGGATACTACAAATTGATTTTTTAGTGGAGGAGGATTTTATCGCAGACGTAATATTTATTTTTTCCGTGCTTCAAGGTATGTGTATTGATTTCGCGCGAAAATTCATGTCCTATTTGGTACACAATCGCATTGAGCATTTTGTGGGTAGAAAATCAATGTCCATCCTGTCTTGGGCAAGATTATCTATTTTCAGTGCTTATCAGTCTAGCCTAATTATTTAAAAAAACGTCCGGACCCAACCAAAAATTCAAATGGTCATCCCCTGAATTGGTCACCTTTTAACTAAATCGTACAGGAAACAATAGTCTGAAAATAGCTATGCCGTCTCCGAATCTCCGACATTCAAATGTGTGTCCCCTTAAATTAATTTCAATTTTAATCATAAAATAGAATAAAAAAAAAAGGAATAGAAAAAAAATTAAAAAAAAAAAGAATACAGCTGCTAAGTTGCTAAAACTATATTGACCAGTAAAAAAAAAAAAAAAAAAAAAAAAAAAATTCCAAAATGTGTTGTCAAATTCATATATATGCTTTTTATTTTATCGTTAATTTGGAAAAGGCCACTCTAGGCTTTGACATTATATTTCAAACAACAATAGAACAGCTACAACCAGCTAAGAAATTAAATATAGAAGTATAAACGATGGAAAAATATTATTCAACATGTCTTTTAACCTGACTAAATATATCAGTATTGGCGTAATATTCTTTAGACTTTACTTTAATTTTTATATAAAGAGACGTAACAAAGTGACGAATAACAAATTAAAATTTATTAAGCACAATTTCCATCGACAAAATTGCAATGACATATGCATAAAACAACAAATACTATGTCACATAAACAGCATTTACAGGTACATAGTGTTTGTTGTTTGCTGTACATCCAGTGGCAAGTATTTCATACTTATTCAGAACGTGCACAGTAAAAAAGTCATATCAAAATAAATCTGCATCGATATATGTAACGATTGAATAAATGGATAATGACTTTCATGGTCTTAAATCAGTTCATACATCAAGAACACAAAGGACCGAGCCCCCTTTTTTATAGCAAAATCCCAAGTCCTTTCAACATATATTTATAAAAAGAAGAAAAAAAAAAAGAAAGAAAATATAAACACGGGAGCCACTGAGGCTAAATATATAAGGTCTCTTTACCACAGATGGTACACTACGCATTACTAGTAATTAATTAAAATGATATATGTGGGAAATAAATATATACAGAAAGTCTGTGATTGACTTTTTGGAGTGATAAGAAAAGTCTTTGCCTTCTAAATTTCGTTTAAATAATTTACAATTTAGTCCAAATCTGGTAGGGCAAGTTAAAATGACTCTGCGGGGAGGACAGAACGTTCACATACATGTTTAACCTCGCCACTTTATGTGACTGACCACCAGGAGCCTGAGATTTCAGCGGTTGTGGGTGTTTTTTGTAAAATTAGTAGTAAAGGAATTAGCGGAATGCAATACTAATAACTACGTCTTTCCGGTTGTTTTTTTAAGCTACATGATTGAACGTATTTATATAAGTGTACATAGACAGCAAATACCATCGATTTGAATTATTTGTAACTATAAGTATGAGTGCCAACACATTCCAGAGATTTTATAGACTTATTAATTATCTATCCTGTCATGTGCAAATTACTCTCGTGCATTTCTTCATTAAAATACTTGATTCTTCGTCAAAGATCAAAGTAATTTTTTTTATTCCTAAAATGAAGTAATAAGTTATTTTTTGAATTAAAAAAAAAAACACACGGATCACAAGTACCATACATGAGGATATGGATGGGGGTTATAGAATAGAGAATAATGAGCAAAAAAATATAAAGAATAGAGAAAAATGACCCAAAAAATAAAGAATAGAGAAAATTTTACCAAAACAATAAAGAATAGAGAATAATGAGGTGCTAAATATAAAGAATTGAGAATAATGGACAAAAAGTATAAAGAATTGAGAAAAATGGCCTAAAAAATTAAAAAATACAGAAAAAGGAATCCCCATTCAGACCCTCATACATTTTGCTACACTTTTAGAAGTAGAATTAATTTAATTTTAAGTTTCAGGTATTTGATATCTGGTCTTGCGTCATGTTGGTTTTAACGCTCATCAACTGTTGATACCAATATATTTCTTGAGCACAACTGTAAAATATGTTAATACATAGTGTATCAAATTTATTTTGGCACATTCTAAGTTTGTATTCTATGAACTTTAGAATATATTCTTCAACTTGAATAAACATTGGCACATTGTAAGTTTGTATTCTACGAACTTTAGATTGTGTTCTTCAACTTGAATAAACATTGGTACATTGTAAGTTTGTATTCTACGAACTTTATATTATGTTCTTCAACTTGAATAATCATCGGCACATTGTAAGTTTGTATTCTACGAACTTTGGATTATATTCTTCAACTTGAATAAACATTGGCACATTGTAAGTTTGTATTCTATGAACTTTAGATTGTGTTCATCAACTTGAATAAACATTGGCACATTGTAAGTTTGTATTCTATGAACTTTAGATTATATTCTTCAACTTGAATAAACATTGGCTCATTGTAAGTTTGTATTCTATGAATTTTAGATTATATTCAGTTATTCTTCAACATGAATAAACATTGGCACATTGTAAGATTGTATTCTATGAACTTTAGATTATATTCTTCAACTTGACCCTCATACATTTTGCTACACTTTTAGAAGTAGAATTAATTTAATTTTAAGTTTCAGGTATTTGATATCTGGTCTTGCGTCATGTTGGTTTTAACGCTCATCAACTGTTGATACCAATATATTTCTTGAGCACAACTGTAAAATATGTTAATACATAGTGTATCAAATTTATTTTGGCACATTCTAAGTTTGTATTCTATGAACTTTAGAATATATTCTTCAACTTGAATAAACATTGGCACATTGTAAGTTTGTATTCTACGAACTTTAGATTGTGTTCTTCAACTTGAATAAACATTGGTACATTGTAAGTTTGTATTCTACGAACTTTATATTATGTTCTTCAACTTGAATAATCATCGGCACATTGTAAGTTTGTATTCTACGAACTTTGGATTATATTCTTCAACTTGAATAAACATTGGCACATTGTAAGTTTGTATTCTATGAACTTTAGATTGTGTTCATCAACTTGAATAAACATTGGCACATTGTAAGTTTGTATTCTATGAACTTTAGATTATATTCTTCAACTTGAATAAACATTGGCTCATTGTAAGTTTGTATTCTATGAATTTTAGATTATATTCAGTTATTCTTCAACATGAATAAACATTGGCACATTGTAAGATTGTATTCTATGAACTTTAGATTATATTCTTCAACTTGAATAAACATTGGCACATTGTAAGTTTGTATTCTATGAACTTTAGATTATATTCTTCAACTTGAATAA